TCATTCCTTCCTCTACCCCCAACCTTTTATTAAATCATCTACTGCCTTTATATTAGAACTGAGTACATTGGATTCTTGCTTCTCCATTCTTGGAATGCTTTACTAAGAAGAATGTGTTCCAACTCAGTCTAGGTTAATACCAAAGATGTAAAGTCTCCATCTTTTTTAGTGGCTGAATAGTTTTCCACAGTATACATATACCACAGCTTGTTAATCCATTCCTGGGTTGGTGGACATTTAAGTTGTTTCCACATTTTGGCTATTAAAAATTGAGCTGCAATAAACAGTCTAGTACAAGTGTGCTTACGATAAAATGATTTTTTTTTTCTTCTGGGTAGATGCCTAGTAAGGGGATTGCAGGATCAAATGAGAGATCTAATTTACTTTAGAACAGAATTTTCAACTTTGTTTACAAACACTATGTTTTCATCCCTAATATATAACGAACTTCTAAACATAAAGGGAGAAAGAAAATTATACAAATGAATTAAAGTGATCAAATATTTTTGAAAGTGTCAAACACAAATAGAGCTTAATTGAAAAAACCTATCTCTGTCTCACTCACCATATGAGAACTACATTATCTATCAATTATTTTGATTTATTAGCAAAAACTTAAAAATGCGGCAACATTCTCTGTTTTTGAAGCTGTGGAGAAGTAGTCACATATATTGTCAGTCAGAGCCTAAAGTGAAATGACTTTATGGGAAGATTTGGTAATATCGAGTCTTTATTAATTGACCAGAAAACCCACTTCTAGGAAAATTATTTTAGGTAAATGACAAAAAATATTAAGTCAGTTTGCAAGTCAATTTATTATATACCTATTTGTAACACATGGCAAGAGTGGAAGGGAAAACGTTTATGTTATTAGTGGACATTTTGAATAAATTATAGTGCATCCATACACTACAGTTGTAAAAGGGATAGAGATATATTTATACACCTGTATCATGATCCTCAGCATTTATATTGATTAAAGAAAATGGAAAATATAGTTCCCAAATAAAAGGAAATACTAACTTGCATATATAATGATTTATGATTAAAAATAAAAAACAATAAACAATAAGATATAACATTTAATTTTTTTATACATTTGAAGACTTCCCCCCAACTAAATAAAACATAAGGGAATTAAATATCACTAAGTATATATTTAGTTGGTAAGTTAACCACATGAACAGAATTATTCAAGTGTTTTAATACACAATAATTGGTCTGTATATCAATGTGGGATTTAATCTAAGAATAAATAGAATAGCTAAAAAAAAAATCTCTTTTTGGGTGGGTGGCAGCCCCATCACTGTTACTCTAATGTGGACAAAAGAAAAAATGAAAATTAATGTGATATTTGTGTTCTAATATGAGACAAAAGAAACACAATGAAAAATAAAAGACTGAACTGATCCTGCCATCCAAAATTTGAATTATATATTTTAGCATGCACTCAGAAAGTGTTTTCTAATAAAAAATATATGTTTGATGTGTTTACTGGTACTATTCACTGAAAATACCTAGAAGAGATGATTGACTTCATAAAAATCATCAGAAATGTTCCTAGATTCAACATTTCCCAGTGTAAATGGGACTCTTTGGAGAAGTGATTGATCCTAGGTCTAATATAGAAGAGCGTAACATGAGGCTGGAATAACTTAAGCTGGGTAGGAAGGAAGCAATCAAAGAGTAAAAGCATAACATCCACAAGATGTTCAAATTGAAGACTTTTCTCTTGGCTAAAACACCCTAATGAAGTAGGAAATCAATTTAATTCTTATTTGAAATTGGTACGTCAAACACCAACATGAACGAAAAAAAAACCTATAAATTCATATGTTTATAATAATACCTACAAAACCCAACTTGGAATATTGAATAAAGAGCAAAGTAGCATTTATCTGGGCTTTTCTATGTGAACTGTATAATGAATAAGCAAATGGTGCATGATAGATTTAGAATATAACCTTTTTGTAGCACATACTGAACTAATGGATCCAGCCATTGGCCACCAATAACTGCTAAGTATTTTTGACTCTATTAAACATGTATCTCAGTTGAAAATATAAAATTCTCTTTCTGGAGTGGTTTTGTAAAAAAAATAAATCTAAACCCAAACATAGATTAAGCCTCCAAATCTAAATAGGAACCACTGAAAATCAACAGAGGGAGGATGCAATGAAATGAGTCACTGCTGCACATCTGCTTCCTGTGAATAGAGATAGAAATTCTTGCTGCTTATAAATTGGGGTTTATGATAAAAAAAATTACATAATTTCTATTCTTTCTGCAAAACTGAACAGTAAAAACTAAGTGGATAAGGATAACACCCCCTATGATGTGGAGACATAGCTGCCAAAATGTCCCTTTTACCAAGAGCTTCTTTAACAATAAAGTAGTTCACAAAATTGCACCCCAGCCATGCTACAGCTCTGTAATAGTGACTGTTTTGACTTTTTATTAGTTCATACACAGGTATATTTATGTCAAGACTTCACATTGTACACCTCAAATATACAAAAATTTGCATTTGTCAAATATACTTCAATAAAGCTGAAAAAATAAAATAAAACGTTCTCATTATATAAATTAATGTCATTTTGTATTAAATGTATGTTTAATTACTTCATTAAATATATTTGTATTAACCAATTCTTATGTAATAAATTTTATTAATTGATATAATTGTATAATAAATGCATAGCTTATCTTATGATACATATTTTATTGCCAAAACATTTAGGGAACATAAAGAACAACGTTAAAGAAAATAATTAGTTATCTACTAACCAGAATTCAGATAAATAAAAGGTTTTCATTTTATGGTAATTCTCATTAGAATGTTAGAAAGATGAAAATAAATGTGAAGGCCAAGACGAACAACATGGTGGACAAAGTGGAAGGCTGCAATTTGCAATGAAAATTGAATTAGTTAACCTATGCAATAATATTTTAAAAGGTGTGAGCACAATATATGCATTCTAATAGTTATTCTTTACTTAGAATTATGGAATAATTTTTTCATTCCTGATGCCTAAGGGATAAATAACAAAAAAGGCATATGTAGAATACTTTTGTATGTTAAAACATTGGTGAAACCAGTTATATTAAGAGTTCTAGTTTTGTAAGAAAGTAGACTTCTCAGCTATTTTTATTATTCATGAAATATTAAAGAACTATAAAATATTAAGTAATTACTATAAGTAAATATTTTGTAGAAGGCAACATTTTAGGTCCTCTGTGGTATGTGCAAAGATGCCTGTAACCATTCTCAAGGGAGAGTGATCATGGAGAACAAGAGTTAGGAGGCTACTGAGAAATCCAAGGATGGCTTCCAGAAATCCCTCATGGTCTGTAATGTGGCAGAGATGTGACCTAAACTTTGCCTTGTTCCTAGGAGATCAAATATTTTGAGACCCAAACAAATAGACTTGATGTAGTTTAGGTCTTTTATTTTTCCAGAGGGAAGCGGATCCTAGTTTAAAAATCTGTGCTCATAATACCCAATATTCTTGTATTGTTCTCCATTCTCTCTTTCAATGAGACTTTCTTGAACTTCTAGATCAACATTGAAGAGGAATATAATACATTTACAGATCTTGGAAGATGTCTGATGTTCTGTTTTTATTTCCTGAAATAGCGACCACTATAAAATAGAGAAAATAAATTTGATTAGTGTGAACTTTGGTAGTATCTGGAAGAGAAGCAATGATTTTACATTGTGTCCTTTATAGCAGAGGTTTTACCATCTAAGATATGGAGGAGACACTGCCCAGGATTTTAACAGACTAAATCAATGGAATAGTACATCAGCACAGTGTTTGAACAGCTGGGGATTCACTGAACAGATTGGGATGAATGTGAGAGGTTCCTGTATATCTCTGGATACCCTATGGATGAGTGATCTCATGTGGGGCAAGTTGACTAGGAAATGAAACACTTTCCCATAAAGCTTAGTAGCTCAGGAGGGAGGATGTTCAAATGGAAGATGGACTGTGCTACAATCCCGGTGACAGAGCTGCTAAGATCTAAGGCAAGTAGTTGTTGTTCCAATTTGTGTTCAGAAAAGAATTAAAATTAAAAATAGATGAATGTCGAACATCCCTTGAAGCTGAAAAATAAAGATGCCTCTCTATAAATATATATATATGTGTGCGTGTGTGTGTGTGTGTAAACACATTTCTTGTGAATCATTGAACACATCAAGCATTAAATATTCTATAGAAATATAAGACAAGCCAGTACATGAATAAGGGAATATCTTCCTCTTCTTAAAAAAATTATCTTTTTATTACGGTAAATATACATAATATGTAGGATGTTCTTATATTATCTTGATAATTAGACCAAAATGTTAATATTTAAAATGAAATTAATAATTAAACTATGCAATTGATTCTGAAAATAAAATATTTTTATTGGCTAAAAATCATTAACTAGTTTCTTACAAGAAGAATAAATGTTTACTACTTTTGTCTTCTAATTCTCACTGTTACCATTTTGTTTTTAGGAGGTAGCATCCTTTAATATATACATGATGGGAAAAGTAAGAAAAACATATGTTTCCCCAAAAAAGGTGACAGTATTTTGCATAAATTGAACCCAATGCAAGATTTATGAATTTTATTGAAAAGTTCCTAACTTCTCCTGCTGGATTTAAAATAAAATAACTAGTAAATAAACTAGATTCATATATTAAAATATAATGCAGGGCAATGCCTGTGGCTCAAAGGAGTAGGGCATAGGCCCCATATGCTGGAGGTGGTGGGTTCAAACCCAGCCCTGGCCAAAAACTGCAAAAAAAAAAAGCAAACAAGGTAGTCAAAATAAACTATCCTAGATTGCAGAAAATGTTTTAGAATTGTATCAAAGATGACAATATTGATCATTGATCATGATGATCATATTTTTCATCTCTTCCATTTCATTTTCTTTCTACAGAAATATCTTTAAAAGATGAAGAAAGGAGAGAGAGAGAGAAGTAGAGTGAGGGAGAGAAAGACATGAACCACACAGTAATCACAGAGTTTGTACTCCTAGGCCTTTCCGACGATCCTGACCTTCAGATTGTCATTTTCCTTTTTTTATTTCTCACATATGCATTAAGTATCACTGGAAACCTGACTATCATCACCCTCACCTTGGTGGACTCACATCTGCAGACACCCATGTATTTCTTCCTCCGGAATTTTGCTTTCTTAGAAATCTCCTTCACAACTGTATGTATCCCTCGGTTTCTGGGGGCAATTGTCACTGGGGACAAGACCATTTCCTTCAACAACTGTGCAGCCCAACTCTTTTTCTTTATCTTCATGGGAGTGACTGAATTTTACATTCTAACTGCCATGTCCTACGACCGCTACGTGGCCATCTGCAAACCCCTTCATTACACAACCATCATGAGCAGGAGCCTCTGCACCCTGCTGGTGCTGTGCGCCTGGCTGGGCGGGTTTCTGACCGTGTTCCCGCCCCTGATGCTTCTCCTCCAGCTGGATTACTGTGCTTCCAACATCATTGACCACTTTGCATGTGACTATTTCCCCCTCTTGCAGCTATCTTGCTCAAATACATGGTTCCTCGAAATACTTGGTTTCTATTTCGCTTTGGTTACTTTGCTATTCACGTTGGCGTTAGTGATTTTATCTTACATGCACATTATCAGGACTATTTTGAAAATTCCGTCTGCCAGTCAGAGAAAAAAGGCTTTCTCCACCTGTTCCTCTCACATGATTGTCATTTCCATTTCTTACGGAAGCTGTATATTCATGTATGCTAATCCCTCTGCCAAAGAAAAGGCGTCTCTGACAAAGGGAGTAGCTATTCTCAACACCTCTGTTGCTCCCATGCTGAACCCCTTCATTTATACCCTGAGGAACCAGCAAGTAAAACAAGCATTCAAAGATGTGGTCTACAAAGTTGTGTTTTATGCAAACAAATGAAATGTTTTGTCAAAAATAAAGTATTTTATAAAAAAGCAATTAAGTAGAATCTGAAAATTCATTTGTATCAGTATCTTTGCTTTCTTACAGTTTCTGCCTATGCCACATTAGCAGTTAATCTGATATTTCCCCAGTCCATTTCTTCCACCCCCATACCCATTTCTCCAAACAATTATTTATTGGCTGACTTACAGATATAGTAAAATTTATCCCCCCATCAAATTTTCTTTAAATGTTATACTCTATGTAGGACATGTAAAATAGTTTAAATTCTGATGTATCAGTTCTTAAATGGCACATATGTTATCATATTGTAATTCAAACCTAGAGTCTGAAATGTTAAGTTTTTTCTGTATTTTCAAGATGAATATTGATAATGTTACAAAATGTTTTAGACCCCCTATGTTCTGCGTCACTGTCCATTACGGTCAGTCTCTATAGAGGCAATATATTCTATTGGATTGTACTTCACATGTAGGCCTTTATACTTTGTAAAATCTAGTGCAAGCCACTACCATTTTCTTTGTAAATTAAATTCCTCACTGAAAATATAAAAATAAATTTAGCATGCACTGTAATTACTTTCATTGTATAAACACCAATTCAATAATTAATCATTTGACCTGAGGTCTATGTCACTGCTTCCTGGCTATACTGTGGTAGTATTTAAACTGCAAATGCTCATTTTTCCTCTTATATTCTCCCAAAAGATATTATCCTTGTGAGCTTTGTCTAACACACCTTATTTTTAAAGTTGCATACTACTGTAATACACAAAGCAAAATGTAAAAGAATTTCAAATATGTATAAATTAATGGAAAATATAATTTTACATATGGTAATATACTGAAGAATTTTAATCTTTTACTCTTAACCATTTGTTCCCACAATATGGAAATCAAAACATTGAATACAGGAAATTAACATGGAGAATATCTCTCTGGGAAACTTAATCTTCATGATATTTTAAGGATTAACATATGCTTATTTTTTATTTTATTTCCTTATTTTTTTACTGAGACAGAATCAGACCTTGTGGCCCTCGGTAGAGTGCAGTAGCATCACAGCTCACAGCAATCTCCAACTCTTGGGCTCAAGTGATTCTCTTGCCTCAGCCTCCCCAGTGGAGTACAGGCACCTAACACAATGTCTGACTTTTTTTTTTGGAAAGACAGAGACTTGCTCTGGCTCAGGATGGTCTCAAACTCTTGAACTCAGGGCAATCCACCTGACTTGGGCTCCCAGAGTGCCAGGATTACAGGTGTGAGCCACCATGCCCAGCCCATGTGCCTATGTTTTAAAAAGTTTAAAACACCACTTATATATGCCTTTTATTTACTTATTTATTTATAAATAAGTCTATTAAAGAAAGATTCAGTGATTGAAAAGAGTTGTTCTTATCCTCAGGCAAATCTAGTAATAGAGAGAAAAAAGTAAATAGACTGTTACAGTGCAATATTATGTGTTGTATCTCTATGAGAAAATAACGTACAGATGAATAGATATATTAAGATCTAAATAATAATAGACTTGCTAACATCATTAGTAATTTACAAAATCCTAGCCATATGAAAGGTAGATTGTTATTTTTATTTTTTATACCAGGATAAAAGACATGAAAGAGATAACAGGTAAGAAAAAAATATGAGATAACAAAAGCTTCAGATAAATAGACATACCACTAATAAATAACACTAAGTTAGCATTTAAAATATCAGAAATGCTGCTAAGTACATAAACTTATTTATTTGCACCCTCTGTAGTGCACATGGTAATAGTTTTTCCATTAGCTAAATAATTTGATCAAAGCTGTCACGCAAAAATTTCTAGATTTTATGCTTTTAAACTATATTCTTATGCCTGCGGGAAAGTTAGGATTCTAACTCAACTGACTGAATTAAAAATTTTTCCTTATATGTAATATTTCTTCTGTGTGACTCTAGGGAAAAAAAGGTATTATTCATATATGGGCATTTGGGTGACATCAAAATGTGATTTCGATTTTGTGCATTCATACCAATAATTAGCCAACAAGTAAGACACACAAACTTCTTTGGTTAAATGAGTTGAAGACTCTATTTTGAATTTTTGAGTTGCAATACTTGACCTTCAACTTGCCATCAGTAAGAACTTAGAATTAGATATACCAATTCTAAGCCTTTGATTTATTGGTTTATTGGGAGATCAATTATTTAATATAAACTACATGGATACTATCATTTAAGAAAGAAATGTAATTCAAATGCAACATCAGTGACTACAAAGCCTATGGAATGAAAAGTTTATATTTTATTGCAAACCCATGTCTTTTTCTGGCTCTCAGGAGTTTGGAGCCACTGTCATCCCAACAGGCAGAGGCAAACTTCCTTGCAAGCAGCCATCAGTCAAGCTGCCAAAAAGATTTTCAAAGAACTAAATAGTAACAGCAAAGAGAACTGTGTTAATTGAATACATCTTTGTCTTAGTCTCCATTTATGCCTGTACAAACCAATGTAATTTGCTATTCAACAAGGAATCAAGACTGGATGAACTCACTATCATCATTATGCTGCAGTTTTACTCCCATGGTGTGGAGTTTTCATGCTGTCCTGGTGAATTACTCCCATGACAAGAACTTCAGCGCTTAGAATAAATTGTCTCCTTAAGAAAGTCATTTTCTTGCACCTTGTTTTTCTGATAAACTTATATTAAATGAAAAATTCCAGAATTAAACAATCTGTAAGTTTTTAACTGCAGATCATTTTAAGTAACATGATGAAATCTCACTCTGATTGGCCCTGTCCCCAGGACATGAATTATCCTGTCTTCAGATCCGCTGTTGCACTATTACAGTGTTTCCTTAATAATGGCCTCAAAGGTCAATCCAAATATGCTGAAGACAAGCTGGAGCATGCTTCCTTTAAGGGAAAGATGGAAGCTCTCAACTTAGTAAGGAAGCAAAAACATCATTTGCTGAGGTTGCCATGAAGCCAAAAGTTAGAATAAGTATGAATGATATGCAAAAATATTCTAAATTTCATAAACAATTTTCCTTCAAAAGGGAAGGCACTTGAGCCATATTCATCATGATACTCATGAAATATTTTCAATTTAGAGACAGCTTGTGATTTGCTGAGAAACATAGTTAAACAGAGATTTCTAGCTGTTGGAAGAAATCCATGGTGTTACCATTTTCTTCCTTCATATAGAAACTATAATTTTGAAGACAAATTGGAAACATTTGGCAATGTTGAACTTTAGACTTGTTTGGTGATTGAATAGTTGTTAAATACTCAAAGATATATCATAAATTGAAGATGTAGGTCAAGGAAGCAAAATAATTATAAAATTATAACAAAAAAATGAGGTCATTTAGGCTGTATTATTAGATGATTCCTTCTATATAAATATATACAAACTCCTTCCTGGTTGTTACAAATGTTTGCAATCTGTATAAGCATTTTGATTGTTAACCTCAAAGGTCAAAACACTTTCTCTGTGAAAGACCAGGCCATAGAATTTCTGATGCAAGTACTCAACTCTCTCATTATAGCATGAAATCAGCTATAAATAAAATGTAAATTAATGGACTTGGGTAGTCCCAATAAAACTTTTACAAAAGTAGTTTGTAGGCCACATTTGGCTCATGGACCAGTCTGCCCACTCCTGTTTAGACTTTTCCATAAACATTGGCCCACATATTACTTCACATGAAATATAAGACAATTTGACTAAAATGTCAAAACCCATGAATAGATACAAACTTATAAAAATTAATCTCAACTTTTACTTTTTTATTATAAAAAGGATAAGAATAATCTTATAAATATTTCCAGAGAAAAAGAAGAGTTAAACATATCTAACTCATATTGTGGACTTTGGTATCATTCTCAGTATCAAAAAATAATATAAGAAACGAAGACTCACCAACAATTTACTCACAAAATAGGAGATAAAATACTTAAAGAAATTAGCAAATCTACTACTTAATGACTTTGATGATTTTTCAAAAATCCAATAATTAGTTTTTTTAGGATAAAAATTTATTTTTTTCTAATTTCTTTTCTATTTTTCCTATTCATTTCCTAAAAATATTTTTTAACTATTTGTATAATACCTGAGTACTACATGTGACGCAACACCACCTGTCAATCAGATACATTTTTTTGATAACAAACTCAACTTATAGAAAAATAACTAAATTATATATTGGCATTCAATTAATTGTAGGCTAATCAGGTATCTTGGGGGGGTGATTAAGCGATAAAAAATAATTTTTTAAAAAATTACTAAAATTAATCAGTAGCAGTCACTGGAGTTGTTCAGTGACAACATGTCAACTCAGGTTTTCAGATGAAAGGAAGTCTTCCAATATTTGGATTTTTTAAACATTTTGGTTTAATTTTTTTTTTTTTTTTTTGAGACAGAGCCTCAAGCTGTCCCCCTGGGTAGAGTGCCGTGGCATTACAGCTCACAGCAACCTCCAACTCCTGGGCTCAAGCGAGTCTCCTGCCTCTGCCTCTCAAGTAGCTGGGACCACAGGTGCCCGCCACAACGCCTGGCTATTTTTTGGTTGCAGCCGTCATTGTTGTTTGGCAGGTCCAGGCTGGGGATTCGAACCCGCCACCTTAGGTGTACGTGGCTGGCGCCCTAGCCGGTTGAGCTATAGGCGCCCAGCCGGTTTAATTTTTTTATTTTGAATGTGTTATAGGAAATATTATTTGTATTTAAAATTCTCCCTTCATTTTCTAAGAACAGTGAGACCTGGTAGCTTAACTGTTTTTCATTGATTGAAAAAACACTCACCAGCCTCAAAAAAATCTTGGAGATAATTATTAAAAAGAATTATTAAATTCATGAGCTGGTTAGTAGGATTGTAACAGAGATAAACCAGCCTAAATCAAAAGTAAAATATTAAGAGGTCTGGAGAAAAACTAAAGAAGTAATAGAAACAAGAAAGAAAGAAAGAAAGAAAGAAAGTGGAAGGCAAGAGTGTTTGCTGCAGCTTTTCATAAATATCTTTATTTCTATTTCATGAGTTTTGATGACTCTGTGCTGAATTTTGTCAAATGCTTAATCTGCATCAATTGATAAGATCAAATAATTCTTCTTTAGCTTTTAATACAGTAGATTGCATTGATTAACTTCTGAGTATTGAACTGAGCTTTTATCTCTGAAATAAATCTGATTTCAGGAAGAAAAAGTATCCAGTGTACTCATCCCTACTATGGAACTAATTTATAAGCATTCACATTTCCAAATGCAAGCTATAACCCAACTATATCCCAAGATGAAGGGTAAAGAGGAGAGGAAGGGGAGGGGAGGCAGGAGGATGGCTAGAGGAAGGGTAAATGGTGGGACCACACCTATGGTGCATTTTACAAGGGTACATGTTAAATCTATTAAGGGTAGAATAGAAATGTCTTAACACAATAACTGAGAAAATGCGGTGAAGGCTATATTAACTAGTTTGATGAAAATGTTTCAAATTGCATATACACCAGCACATTGTACCCCATAATTGCATGAATGTACACAGCTATGATTTAATAAAAAAAAATAAAAAATAAATAAAATAAAATAAATCTGATTTCATTTTGGTCAGAAAAAAGTAGAAGGTAAGAGAGTGATGGAAGAAAGACTAGCTATTTGTTATCTTGGACACAGAGAAAAGATACAAAGAAAAAACATGTATGTTAGGTTTTTTCAAAGGAAATACTGTGCTTTTTCTGATAGAAACTCATCCCTTTTTGCCTCTAAAAAGATCAATAAAGACTACATTGCTCACAAATAAACTTATGATAGAGACAAGATATGTCACCTTATTCTTTAATAGTATGTAAGTTATTTCATAGGTTTTTATTACTGTTTGGAAAACTGAAATAACTTAAATGTTTAGTAAATGCCTACTGGTCAGTAAATTTCAAAAATAATTGCTATGTGTATTACTTTTAAAGAGTTTTTGAAAGAAAATATGAAAATGATCAGTATTTGGACAAAAACAAAAGTAAAGTAATATAATTTTCATAGGTACCCAATAATTTTTACCATTTCTATATATAAAAATGCTGAACATGTAATTTCAATGCCTATTTCAGTGTATAAATTATAAACTCAACATATCACCATGTGTCGGTTTTGTCCAATTTGTTAACTAGTGGATTATTCATTATTTCATGCTTTCTTTCCTTTGTCTCACTTTCAAATACTCTCATTTGCAATTCTATTAATTATTAGCTCTTCTGAGGTTAATGCCACCAGAAGATGTAAGTCCATGCTGTATGTCCATATTTATACCTATGAAGAAAATAAGGAGAAATTGTTAAACATCTAATTTATATTACATATATATGTATAGATATATATTTCTAGTAATGAGGCTTGAATCTTTCAGTTCAGAATGTTAAGAAATAAATATGTTAAAATTATTTAATCTCAGATTTTCAACTATTTTGTTGTTTGTAAATATTTTCTCAATGGGAAGATATCATACATAAAACTTAAACAAAGATTTAACAAAGGTAAATGGTTCAGTGAAGGGAAGTAGTTAAAGGGCAATAAACACAAGTTTTTGTAAATATTGCTGGGGCATTAGTCACGGCACAGGAGAACAGCTTAGGGAAACTCAAAGAAGCAATACAGGTATACAGTATAAAACTCTGTGTAGATTCTTAATATTGTCCATTTCAGAAGACTATTAAGTCATATTAGAACTCTAAAGCATTGTTTTCTACTACCTCATTGTGGTAAAGATATCTTTTCTGAATTGCCAAAATTCAAGGATATAAGCATACCAATTTTCCTGAAAATAGGTCCACTATTTCTAGGAAAGAAAATCTGGACCTGTACAATTACAGAGGAAGCAAACTCCAAATCAAACTTTCATAAACCCAACATCACATGTTGCTTATATGCCTGCCTTATTTACATCAATAATTATGTTCTTGTATTATCCTATCAATAATTATAAAAAGATCAATGATTCCTCTGTATCTTTTAATGATGCCTCACCTTAGCACTCTTTGTTTACTTAATAAATTCCCATGAGTCAACAAGAAAGACACAGATAAAATAAATCCAATTCCATTTTTACAACATGCATAGAGAGAGACTTTCCTTATTTTCCATTGTTCAAATCAACACCCACAGGAAACTATAACATTCTCTGAAGTCTAAGAGAAGTATTACTTACATTTTATGGCTGTATCATCATAGAGTTCTAAAATATTTATTTTCAATGTTTAGACAAACGCAAAAGTGAATGTTTTAATAAATGTTTATTACATGGGATGGAGAAAATGGAAAAATACTTTACTAGTCAATCCAGATATCACTGTGTTTATAAATGGATCTTGTACGAGAATGAAAAGAAGGAATCAACTGTAGTATAGTAAAAGTTTCAACAATTTTGTAAGGTCAGGAATTGAGGATATTGTGGGTCAAATATTAGTAGTCTAAAAACTTTTCTCTAGTCTGTGAAAAAGTTAAAGCAGCACCTTGTTTTGAGAGTACAAAGGAAACCAGATAAACTACCAAATCAATTTGCCAGCTCTGAAATTATGACAATTTAAGAGAGCCAGATGGAGAGTTTCAGACTAAATTATTAAGAAGAATCAGAAAGTAAGTAAATTTGTCATTCTTAAATATGATACATATTATTCTCCTTTATTTATATATTTTTAAATATTGCACATTACTGTGGGCTTATAGCTCTTTTAATATTAAATAACTTTATCACCGAAAAAAGTGTTATTCCCAGTAAATGTTATGTTGATCTCTATCTTGGTCATTTGCTATAGCAATATTGAAGATTTTAAACATAATTAAATTGCATGTTGTATGAATTAAAATGTATCTGGATGATGATTTGTTTTAGCAATACAAGTTTTTCTACCTTGTTCTTCTGGATTTTTTTGCTAGAAGAGGAAAGAAATAGGCATGGAAGATAATACCACCAGTCAAACCCTTCTATAATGTAGGAGTGAATGCCAACAAAACATTGCTGTGGATAATCATGTATTTTCAAAATGAGATAATTACTATGGTGACCAATTGTTCAATCTTGTGAGTTTCCTAAACTTTGCGGGACTGAGTTTCTCAAAATACCTTGCTTTAAGGCAGACCTGTTTGAATATTAGCACCCAATCTTTTTTATCCATCACCTGTAATAGTGTATTTTCCATGAAGAGAGATTGATATTTTACTTCAGATAATATTTCTTACTTGAATGATAGAATGGGAATTGGAGAGGATTACTCTCCAATTGGAGAGAGTATATGGGGTTTTTGTTATTGTTTATAGATTATATGTAATTATGAATGTTTTAAAAATGTTATGCCCTATTCTCAATAGGATTTTTTTTCAATAATTTTACAGGGAGAACAGAGATTTACTGTTTTAAAAGTGGAAAAATATAGAGCATCAATGAAAAACCACACGGTACCCACAGAATTCATTCTTCTAGGTCTTTCAGATGACCCCGAGCTTCAGATTGTGATTTTTCTTTTCTTAATTATCATGTACATATTAAGTATCACTGGAAACGTGACCATTATCACTCTCACCTTGGTGGATGCCCATCTACAGACTCCTATGTATTTCTTCCTCAGAAATTTCTCTGTATTAGAAGTAACCTTCACAACTGTCTGTATCCCTCGATTTCTCGGCACAATTATCACGAGAGACAAAACCATTTCATACAACAATTGCACAGCTCAGTTATTTTTCTTCATCTTCATGGGCATAACTGAATTTTACCTACTAACTGCTATGTCCTATGATCGTTACGTAGCCATCTGCAAACCCCTGCATTATACAACTATCATGAGCAAGAGAGTCTGTGTAGTGCTCGTCTTCTGCGCTTGGTTGGCAGGATTCTTAAATATCTTCCCACCAGTTATTCTTTTTCTGCAGTTAGATTACTGTGGCTCCAATGTCATTGATCACTTTGTTTGTGACTATTTCCCCCTCCTACAATTATCTTGCTCAGACACATGGCTCCTGGAAATTATTGGCTTTTACTCTGCAATAGTGATTCTGCTCTTCACTTTGGCATTAATTGTTCTATCTTACGTGTTCATCATTAAGACAATTTTGAAACTTCCTTCTGCTAGTCAGAGAAAAAAGGCATTCTCTACATGCTCCTCTCACATGATTGTCATTTCCATTTCCTATGGAAGCTGTATATTCATGTATGCTAATCCCTCTGCCAAAGAAAAGGCTTCACTGACCAAAGGAGTAGCTATTCTCAACACCTCTGTTGCCCCTATGATGAATCCATTTATATACACCCTGAGAAACCAGCAAGTGAAGCAAGCCTTTAAGGACACTATCCAAAAGGTTATGTTTTTCTCTAGTAAATACTACTAGAAAACACAACTAATGTTAAAAGAACAAAGCTCTTGTAAATGCTATTTGTTGTTGTTTCATAGATTATATGTAATTATGGATGTTTTAAAATGTTATACCCTATTCTGAATAGGATTTTTTTTCAATATTTTTTATAACACTCTCTTTTCTTCAGTATAATTGCATGTGTTTGTTTGTTTGTTTGTTTTTTGCCATTTTCATATTAAAATTTCCCCCACATTATGCTCAATAAATTTGATAAAGCTGAATATTTCTTCATAATTTTCTGAATTTTAAAATGTTCTATTCACATGTATTTCAAAATGTAAAAAATCCTGGTTAATGATTATGATTTTGAATCTAAGTGGTCTGCTTTAGAGGAGAAACAGGGCATTCAGTTTGATGAAGAAAGTATCAGGATAGATGTGGACTTTGAAATTTTGCATTCTTACCAAGTAGTAGAAATGAACTTTTTTTTTGGAAATTTGATTCTATCTGGTATTTCTGAGAAATCAAATAAACATGATTTCTAAGGGGTAGAAATAAAATATAAATATTTCCTTAAGTTCTTGAAACTATTAGAAAGCCATATGGATACAAATTATTATACTAATAGTATTAATTATAATAATAACTGCAAGTAGCAATAGGAGAGTAGAAGATGAAGGTTTTCAGCAATGACTATATTGCAGACACATTCCAATAATTTTTGGTGTATTGGCTCATTTAATTCTGCCAACAACTTTTTGAGGTATCAACAATTATTATTTTCTTTGGGTCAAAAGATTTTTTCTTTAGATTTATTAATTATTCTAAAAACTAAATCAAAACCAAACAGAAAAGAGAATATTTAAAATTATCAAGGAAAATGCATGAAATGTTGATAAGCTGGTGAGAGGGTTTAACATTTTGGAAAACTGAATTTTAATCTAAAAGTCTAGAAATACCTTTAGAGTGTTTAGAAGTAAAAAAAGAAATAACATCTCTTATGCTAATATTCTACACACTCTGCTTTGTATTAGGCAAGTTATATGCCATATTCATTATGTGAAACCTCTTAAAAGATGTAAATCTATAGTCTTTCATTTGTAATAATTTATTAATAGAAATTCATTTTAAATACTAAAATTGTTAAAGGACTTTCTAATGTATAACTCATTCAGGTGATACTTAATTATCATGTGACAAGTATTGATGATGTAGTGATGAAAAATATGGTTCTTGCTTTAAATTTTCTGAAATTCTAGTGAGGAAAAAGTAACATCTTTTTAAAATTTAATTTGATAAATGCAACAATTTGGATCCAAAGTCAGTAATGTTACCATTGACAAAGATAGAGAATGTCAGTTTTCCTGCCTTTTTGCCTAGTAGAATCATGATAGTTTCACAATAATTGCTAAATGTGGGTATATTTTAGCACTAAAATGACATGCATTTGAAAATCTTGTCTACTTTGGTTGTTACCTCACTTTTTACCCTTTTCACCCTTATATCTTTCTTGATAATCTTGTGTGCTATAAAAAAAAATTGTTTCTGAATTAAAAAGAGTTACTTCTTGATTTTATAGCTTCATTATACCATCATTACCATAAAATTGCCAGAATATTTTCTAAAGAAAACTTCCACTCCCTTCATGGGCCTCATGCCATAACACTTCCAGTTTGATCTATTGAGTCAAAAGGAGAGTGTCACTCTAATTCCAGAAAAACTCTGCCTCTTTCCAAGAAGTAATATGAATATTCTTCTTCTTGTTTAATCAATAGTTAAGACTTTGGTTAAATAGAGGGGGTAGAGGAACCATGGGCCCTGTTCTCCTCCACAGAGAGAACTAGCCTCTACCCTGCCTATGGAGTATATTTTCTATACTTTCTGAACAACTGTCAGCTCCTCCTGAATTCTTTCTTGCATGACGCCAAGGACCAACTAGGACTTCAATGGATTCCCAGAATTGGGAGTCAATTCCCTGTGTCACCACTCCATATCTATAATTTCCTCAGATCTATCTGAAAGAATTATATTACCAACCACACCTTAGATTTCTAGATGTCAAAGTATTTCAAGTATTTTTTCTTTTAAATCCAGAGAACACTGAAGTTTATTACTCAATTTAAGTCCATGCATAAAACAAACAAGAAAATCATGACATTACTACCTTTTGAATACTTTAAGACTTTATCTGAAAAATAATAAAATAAAATACATTATTTCTTAACTCAGTATCTATCTTGGATACTTATAGTTTTCTATAAACAGAATAAAAATTTTCCAGGCATAAATTCTTTCTAATTCTTATGTGATTATAAAAATTCAAGCAAATACTAAGAAAAAAAATTTTTTTAAGTAACTAGGTTGCAAGTATGTACTACCAATTTGGGTTAATAGCATAATACCACTTCTGCTATATGGGATTTCAGGTGATAGATAAAAAGGTATGCATTTACATATATAATTAATTTTTTCATGAAAACATATACCAAGTCCTATATCAGTGTAAACGATGAGGTTTCTCAAGCAATCTGAATTATCCAGGAAAAATTCCCATTAAACATAATTAGTGTGATTAAGAGGATATTCTTGGTGAAGAGAATCATGATTGCAAATAACACAGAGCTATAAAAGTGAGGGAAGTGGCCATGAATTATGAGAACATAAATAGGAAGCAACAAATAACAACTCCTTCCTTTTCATGTTTCTCATGAAAGAGCTCATTTTATTGATTTAATTTGTTGTGCATAGCAAAATATGCTATAAAACAAGTAATTTTCTGATATGCATATTATGTTTTGAACTACGTTAAATGTTTTGTCCATCATTCTAAGGTTTTAATAGTTACTTTAAGTGGGTATTTTTCCCCTTCTAAAGAATGAAAAATAGAGAGTCACGTGAATAATGCCATGTGATCAATAAATATTTATTCAGGGCTATGGCCCCAGAAATAAACCACTGTACCAATTCTCTGGGAAGGAGGAAAACCTGGTAAAGTAAACATATAAAAGGGAAACTTAGAATTTTAGGATAATCATTCTTTAGAGTCTTAGAACTTGAAGTTCTAAACAAGCATAGCCAAAGTGCCAAACTTGGCTTATAAAAAAGTGAGACCTCAGCTATGGTGCATATTGCAAGGGTACATGTCAAATATATGAAGAGTAGAGTATAAATGTCTTAACACAACAGTTAAGTGTGGTGAAGGCTATTTTAATCAGTTTGATGTAAGCATTCCATATTATATATAAAATCAGCACATTGTACCCCATAAATGAATTCATGTACATAGTTAGGATTTAATAAAAAAAATTCTACCCAAACTAACATACCACAGAAAATTATACATTCAGGAGACAGTTACTCCTTTGTAATTCAACTGAGGTGTCTGAGACAACACAGAAAATCACATTAGCTAAAGCAACGTAGAATCCCCGTGATTCTTCTGTTGTTAACCTCAGAAGTAATAAGCACCTGCATGGTAACTGTGGTGCACCTGCTTGATAACTTGGTGCATTTTCAGAGTATTCCATTTCCCTTCATGTCTTATGGGCCAGATTCTATCATTTCTGAACCATATGCTGAGTTAGCCACACCACCAACCTTAGTCATAGTTATGTGATTCATAATTCATCATCCCACTCATAGATACTCTCTAGTCATTCTCATCAGTTTGACTGAAACACAGTAAATCTTCGCATCCCTAAATAAGTAAAGCTTTTGGTATTCATCAGGCCACATGTCCCTTTTTGAAATCAGAGTGTTATACCAATGTTCACAAGCCTTTGTCATTTTTTTCTCTATCTATATTCTTGTACCTTTATCGCTATATTTTATAGTCCAGTCACATAAGATTATATAAGCATCTTGGAATGGTTCAGTATGCTTTACCTATATTATAGTAATTCTCATTTTCACAATGTACTGAAACATTTTTCTTAACTACACTAATGGACCATGAGCAATTTTTCAAAAAAAAGAAACATTTTGTTCATTACTGCTCACCAAGAATTATTGAAATGCATTTATTCAGTAAAATACTTGTTATATTAATCAAAAAAGTGGAAGTCTTAAAATGCCTACTCCCTGTTTACAATATCAATATCTTTTGTCTTTAAATTATCATTTCTCTTCTCTTTTTCAAATAATTTTTTATGTCTCTGTTTTCTAGGGCTCCTTGTTTTCTAGAGTCGTACCTAGTAGTCACCATAACTTGTCAGCACCATTGACCAATTCTTAAACTCTTCATTCAACAACTGAGCCTATCTTTGCTTTTTAGGTCTTCTTCCCAGGATCTCCAATGTGGGCATGCTTAAGGCAAAACTCTACCTTTTATTCATTAAGCTGCCAGATGGATCCCTATAATCAGACTCCCAACGCTTTTGATATTTTCTTAACTTGAATTGTTTTCAAGTAGACAATGTTAAAATATCACAATAATACACCATAATGTAAATGGAAAAGAACACAAACATTGTGGGGGGAAAAAAGTTGTTTATTCTGAGTCAAGTTTAAAGACCATAGCCTATAGCCACAGCCAAAAAACCTTGGGCAAATGGTCTCACTGTGATTGAGTTACAGTTTAGTTTTATACATTGCAGGGAGACAGGAATTACGTGTAAAGTTATAAATTAATACAGGGAAGGTGAACACTGGTTTGGCCCATAAAGACTAGGGAAACAGTGGCAGGTTTTAGCTGGTGTTGAGTATTCTTTGATTTACAATTGGTTAAAGATATGAAGTTTTGTCTAAAACCCTGGAATACTTTAAATTAACATATGGAAGTATGTTAATCAGAGATAAGCATGATATATACTTAGACTCACAACATCTGTTGAGTAACTGAGGATCTGCAGATTGGTTTAAGCTTTGTCCGGCATAGCCTTATGTCTGTTTATGAGGTACAAAGAATATCTCCAAGAAAGAAGGGAGGCATGACGAGACACATCTGATTTCCCTTCTGATGGGCAGCAATAGTTCTTTAAAATATTTCTAGGGTCCCCTTTGCCAAGAAGTGGTTCATTCAATCAGCCAGTAAA